ATTTTGGTCAATGACATGAGACAAAGTATATGTGAACTGCTGTATGAAAAGTGAATTTACTCTGTAAATCTTCACCCAAATCCTAATAAAAAAAAATAGAGCTGGCACTCTGGACTTAGATTTCTAGCCTAGTCTTCCCCTATAGCCAGCACTCTGAACTCGGACTTCTAGTTTCCTAAACCGTAAGAGAATACATTTGTTTGTTAAAGCCATCCATTTGTGTTATTTGTTATAGCAGCTCTAGAGAACTAAGGCACCCAGACAGAAATAGGCCCAGAACAGGAGAAGTAATTCATTCAGCTACCCTGGCATAAAAACCAAAGTCAAACTCATTCCCCTTGAGTCAGATTCAAATCAGAGCCACCCCTCCTTGGGTTTCTGAGGCAGTATTACTACAGAAGTAGATTGCCCAACCTTCATGGCAGTGAGTAAATTAGCTACCTTTGTCCAGAGTCTCTGCTCCCCATGTTACCTTCTGTCTGTAATTCCATTTCCTGAGAGATCATGCCCAGAGCAAATAGCCACTAAGCCACAGTCAGACATATTCATCCCTCTCCATGAACCAACAGTTAGTAGCTGAGGTTTTCTTAGTTTTCCACAATTATCAAAGTCAGTGCCCCTGCAGTATGATCAACTCCATATACAATAATAACTGAGTTTCTTGATTGGTTGTTAACAATAATGAGCTAACCTTATTACGAATTAGGGTCCACACTATGTACTTTAAACGTATTACATCATTAAAACAAACCAACCCTATAGATAGGTAGCTATCATTAAGATATTTTATAATGACGAAACAGAGGTTAAGTAACTTGTCTAAGATTATGCATAAGATCACATAGGTCATCAGAGACCAAATAGGGAGTCAGATACAGGTTCATTGCCTTCTCCTCTGTTTATAACCACTGAACTATAATACCCTGAAGAACTCATGATCACTGTTTGTGACATTGGGATCTGCTTCTATCTGGTGATAGATTCCTTTTGTCCACCATCCATCCAACCATCCATACATCTATCCATCTCATGCATCCATCCATCCATCTGTTCAACTACCCATTCAATCCTCCATTCATCCATCCACCCAGCCATCTATCCATCTCATAGATATCAAGGATTTCCTTTATGCCAATTCTATTCCAGGAGGTGGCTGGATGTAGAAAGTACTAGGATACGAAAACAGTAAATGCAAAACTTGGGTCTCCAATAGATTTGGAGCTCCTTGAGGGAGCTTTTTATCTGCAGTGTCTAGAATGTAGGCATTAAGTAAATGCTTTAACAACATGTAATTTGGCTCCAGTTTTCCTTCCCAACCTCATCTCAATCACTCTGCTTCTTGCCCCTCTTTAGCCACACTGATCTCCTGTCTGTTTCTGGGACAAGTGAAACCTCTTTCTACCCCAAGACTTCAGCAATTAGTTTCTTTTTATGCATTTGTTCCTCTAGTTATATCAACAGCTGGCTCCTTGTTACCCTTTGCATCTTACTTAAAATGTATTGTCCTCTGAGAGGCCTTTCCTGACGACCCCCTTCCTCACCTCCCCCAGTTACTACCACATCACTCTGTTTATATTTTTTATGGCCTTGCTCATTGTCTACAATCATCTAGTTTATTCAGTTGTTTGCTTATGTTCTAGCTCCACAACTAAAAAATAAGTTTCAGGAGGGGAGATAGTCCTTTGTGTCATTCATTGCATGTCTTGTGCCTGTCTAGCCTAATAACTAACACAGAGTAGGCCTTCAGTATATATTTGTTGAATTAATGCATCAATAAGTGGATGAAGGATATGGGACCAGATCTTCTGGTATTGGGCCTTGAAGAGCAGTGGAAAATAGGCCTCAACAGATAGGATGGGAACAGAGAGGACCTTGATAACAAAGCAGAAGAGGGTACATTTGATGTGAACACAGGGGGCCCATGGAGGCTCATGAGGAGTTGCATGAAAATGGTGGCTTAGAAGGGTGACTTGGTACGTCACAATCTGCTGTATATCTGAAATTTATTCATTGCTGCATCTGGCAAAGAATTACTGCAAGAGGTAATCAGGACTCAGGACCAGAACTGCATTTTTCTCCCTGTGGAAGATTATATAGTTTCCAAGGCTTAAAACTTTAAGGAAGCAGACTGCCATATCTTTCTCCCAGAGTGGCTGCTGTGTTAGAACTGCTGACCTTTCTGTTATAAGCCAAGTGCTTTAACCACTGCACCACCAGGGCTCCTTGTGGAGGATTATACAATATGAGAACACAGTGTAGGTTTAGGAGTTTCAGAGAATTATACATTATGTTTAATTACTTGATCATAGTGAATTATAGACACAATGAACATGGTGAAAATCTTAGAAAGCAGGATGTATGTCTGTTTACTGCAAGCATCTGGCCTGCAGTAGATAATTATCTGTTGAATGAATGAGTGAAGCAATCATGTACTTGCAAAGACCTGGGCTAGATAGGATCTGCTGCCAGTGTGACCTTTAATCTGGCTAAGGCTCAGTTTTCTCATCTGTAAAAGAGGGAGAAAATTGAACTCTCAGGATTGTTAAATGAGTTTATGGGAAAATCTCCAGCACAGACTGAACATTCAGTAAAATCACTTCCTTCTGTTATTGTGAAGCAAGATTCTGAACCTGCTCTGACAGGGCCTCTTACTGGCCTTTTCCCAAGAGTCATGTGGCTTGAAATAGGCAGAGCATATGGTGATATTTGCTTATTGCCATATTCAGTCCTTTCAACTTAGAATGGGAATTCTGGCTCTGCAACTTCCTAGGAGTAACCCTAGGGCACTCTCTTTGTGCCTCTGTTTCTTTATCTATAAAACGGGTATATAGTAGTACTTACTTCATAGAGAAATTGTAAAGAAAAAATTTAAATACTATAGTGTTCAGTCTAGTCATAGTAGGTGCTCACAAAATGGCAGCAACAATTACTCCTTTGAATTCCTCATTCCTTTCTCCCTTCCTTCCTTCTTTTCCTCCCTTTAAGGCTGTCAACTTCTTCCCCTCTTTCCTATCAGTATGCTCAGTGGCTATAATCTCTTCTGGAGAAAAGCTGACTCAGGTGCAATTTGGGAGAAGGTTCAGTAGATTTTTGCCAACATAACAAACCAAGAGACTTAAAGTGCTGGTAGAGAATTTGGGGCATCAGGACACTGGAGAGATCTTTTCAGTAGCACAGAAGAAACTGGGAAAGAAAAAGCTTAACTAGAGAACTAAGTGTGACCACTTTCCAATGTATTTGGAGAGAACAAGCAATGTTCACATACAAGTCCAGCAAAGCCTCAGGACTGCTCTCTGGAACATTCATCAGCTTAATACAGTGTGCATGTTGTCCCTCCTCTTTTCATTAGCATTTTTCTTTTTTGAAATAAGTAAGGCCTTTGTTCCTAGAAAGTGGAGAGTAGTCAAGAAAAACACTCTTAGTGTGGTGCCTGGCAGGGCTGCTATGAGGTTATGAAGACTGTCTTGTCCATCTTTCTATGCCCAGGACTTAGCACAGTACCTGGCAAGGTAGGTGCTCGAAAGTATCTGTAGAATTATTTTTCAAACTTTAGATAGTTTTCTGAAAAAACCTGGTCGGATCCACACGCGGCTGCAAGCAGGTCCGCGCCTAGAAATAACATTTATTCTAAGGACCTTCGCGCAGAGCTTCTCGGGAAGAGGTTCCCCTCGCGCATTCTCTAGTTTCCCCTCCCCTCCGCCGCCTTTGAAAGAATTGGCACGCCACGTGATTCCCTCCTTTCGCCCACCTCTGAAAAATCTGGTTGATAATGGGCAGGAGCATAGACCAACCATTAGATATTAGTTCTTCCTCCAACCAGTAGAAAGAGCGATAAGTATGTGGTTCTGCTCCTGTGACTTCCCCCGCTCTCTTTGAGCCCGCCTCCCCACTCCTTGCGTGAGATTCGACATTTGACAACTCATCTGGCCAATGAGAAGTTCCTACTCTGTATGGGAGGGCTGGACTGACTAGATGGATGATAGACGTCCCTGGCTGGCCAATGGTATGTCACAATTGCGGGAGGGGTGTAGGATGGAGCCAACGGCGCGGTGCCAATAACGAGCATCAGGAAAAGGGCGGGACGAAACTGTTTGCGGGAGGGAGGGGAAGGCCCGGGGAACCAAGCAGCGCTCCCGCCGCCGTCGCTAAAGCTTGAGTTGGAGGAGGGAGAAGCCAGAAAGAAAATGGCGGCTGTGGCTGCAGAGGCGGCAGCGACTGCAGCGTCCCCTGGGGAAGGGGGCGCCGGCGAGGCTGAGCCGGAGATGGAGCCTATCCCTGGCAGCGAGGCCGGTACTGACACCTTCCCGGTCACGGCCACTGAAGCATCTGTGCCGGACGGCGAGGCCGACGGGAAGCAGTCCGCTCCTCGGGCCGACGAGCCGCCGCTCCCGCCGCCACCACCGCCGCCGGGGGAGCTCGCCCGCCGCCCGGAGGCGGCGGGACCAGAGCTGGAGGCTGAGGAGAAGCTGCCTGCCCGGCCTGCGGAACCGGTGGCGCCCGCGCCTCAGGAAGGGCCCGACCTTCCACCTTCTCCTGCATCATCGCCCGAGCAACTTCTGGCTCCCGAGGAGCGCAAGGAGTCTCCGCTGCCCCAGCCTGCAGCCCCGGCGCTCGTGCCGCTGGCGGGCGGGGAGTCTGCGGTGTCGCAATTGATCCCTGGCTCTGAGGTGCGGGTCACGCTGGACCACATCATTGAGGACGCACTCGTCGTGTCCTTCCGCTTCGGAGAGAAGCTCTTCTCGGGTGTCCTTATGGATCTGTCCAAAAGGTACCGCTCCCGCCCCCCATCACGTCCCCGGGTGTCCCAGCCAGAGCGGTCCCAAGGGAGGGAGCGAGCCAGGGAGTCCTCTTAGCTCCGGGCTCCCGCCTCCTGCGAGCAAGGGGCCCCGCCGCCTGCACCGCCCCCTGGTCCTGCGCGGCGCGTGGCGGGCTTCGAGTGGGGTAGGCGCGTGAGACCCGGAGAGGGCGGTCCTTTGCCTAGGTGGGCTCTAGCAGGGGGCAGGTGTGCCACGAATGGGGGGTACGGCTGCTTCACGTGCTTGTGGAATTTTCTACAAGGGCCTCACCACCTAGCTCCGCGGCCCCCTTCCATATCCATACTTCGGCTTTCTCGCACTGGGGAGGGTGGGTTAACGCAAAACGCCGGATGGATTTTTGTAGAGATCAGAGTGCTGGGCGGGGGCGATGTCTTGTGAGACATTTGTCTGTTTGCCCTCAAATTAACCTTTAACTTTAGGGAGGTTGGAGAAAAGGGTGTGTGCAGTGGGGTTCCCAAAAGGTTATCTGTCACTCCGTAGAGGGAGACGATCGTATATTAAGTCTGTGACTGTTATTTTTAATGTTAGAGGTAATTCTCCTTAGGTAACTTTAATAGGCAGACTGGACTAACTATAGTTTTAAGAAAAGTCTTAGGAAGAGATCGGATTCTTTTTTTTTTTTTTTCTTTAAACTTTAATAACCAGATGATTCATGAGTGGCATAAAGTGTTCCAATGACTTCTTGAGTTCATTTACAGACTTCTGCCTTAACTAGCATATTTTCATCTAAAATGTTTATGAGCACTGCTTTAAACAAGTAAAGATCATCTGTCTTATAAGTCTAGGGTTAACCTTTTTATTCTCTTCTTTTGCAGATAGGAAGTGCAGAGACTCCCATTCACGGCTCTCCATTCTGTTTCCTGCAACAGCACACACTCTGATGGTATCTTACCTGCTTGGAAATGGCCTATTAATAGGTTTTACTCTTAACTCCTTGCCTTCTCATTAAGACACAAGAATCCTTTCCCATTTGGGAAAAAAGGCATTTAAAATTTATAGCTCAGTATAGTGTGTATGAGGGCAAGATGGGAGGCTTTACATTTTCTCTGTACACTGTTTAATCTTAAGTTGTTTTTTGGTTTTTAAATATCTTGGCTCAAGACTTTTACACTTTTGCTTTCATAGTTAGAAAGCAGAGTAAGATTAGTGTGCTTTCTACTGATGGATTTAACAGTGATGATGAATTTAATAGTGAGAGACACTCAGTAGTGTGTTTGCTGTTGAATCAAACAGAAGAGAAAGCCAGTGATTGTGTGAGAATCTGGATTTCAAATCTGCAAAAGAAAGGTGCAAAAAGGTAAGTAGTTTTGTGTTGGTCGTGTAGTGCGTAAGGCACTTGACTGCTAACCAGGAGGCTGGTGGTTCAAACCCACCAGCCACTCCTTGGAAGGAAGGTTGGGCAATCTACTTCTACAGTGATACCACCTAGGAAACCCAAGGAGGGGTCGCTAGGAGTCCGCATCCGACTTGACAGCACATAACAACGACAACATTGTGTTGGTATTTTATTTATTTATTTCATAGAGAATTGCAGTTTTTGAGTTTTGGTCTATTTTACTAACTAGAGTTCTTTAGAAACAGCAATTTCTTTTGTTGGAAGAGCTGTTCTTAAATATGAGCCTTTCATGTTTGAATGTTTGAAGTGAAAAGGTCCTGTAAAGTTTTTTAAAGTCATTAAGGGAACCATATAAATTATACATTCAACAAATATTTCTTGAGCCACATCTGTGTGAAAGGCATCTCCTCGGTATTCTGAGTATGACATGATGTATGAGTCACAGTTCTGTTTTCTAGGAGCTTGCTTGAGAGGCACCAATTGTGGAAGCAGTAACGTTCCAAAATGAGAAAATAAGACTGTCTTTAAAATTTGATAATTTAAGGAAGTTAGATAGTGCTTTTTTTTATAATAGGATTTGAAAAAAGGACCTGCCAATACATTTTGTAATCTGTGGCTGCCTTGATTATATACTTATATGGGGAGTTCTAGGGGTTTAATTGATAACCCAGTGGGGCGTATGGGAGCGAGGTATAATAAGCTCTACAACGATCTTGGCTCTATACTCGTCAGTTGCTTTAAAAATAATTTTTATTCTATTTGAATTTACCATAAATGAAATCAGGTTAAACTAAAAAGAGCTTTTTGTTGAGTGCCTATTATGTCCCAGGCATTGTTTATAACTCTGGCGATAATTTTTATTTATACAGGAAGAAATTTGAGTTCATCTAGCTTGGCAAGTCATTTAGCATATTAGTGGTAAAGCAAGGATTCAAATGTAGGTTGATTCTAAAACTTAAAACTTTTTACTTTCAAATTAGAAATTTAATTGGACTAGGGATTCTTTTTTTTAAAGCAGTAAGTAAAAGAATTGGGTATTTCTGAAATGTAGTGCTTACCTTCATTTCAGTAACTGTATGGGATAATAGAGTCTCTGGGTGGTGCCAATGGTTCACATGCTTGGCTGCTAACTAAAAGATGGGAGTTTCATATTCACCCAGAAGCACTTAAAGAGGAAGGCCTGGTGATCGATCTACTTGGGAAAAATCAGCTATTTCAAGTCCTACATACCACACCTCTCTTCGTGACACACATGATATCATCATGAATTGGAATTGACACAAAAGATACAGGTGTTGGAGCCAAGTAGATTCTTTAGTCAATTAATAGTCATGAAACCTGCACTAGAGGCTTCTTATTTTCTTAACTGTATATTGGGGAAAACATAGTAGACTCTAAAATCTTGGTTTTTGCCTAGCCCATGTACGTTTCTGTGCTTTGAATTCTTAAGTCTTCATTATTCATTTCTTTATTTCATTCTGATGTTAATGCATGATAGAGAAGTGTCTTTTAAAGTTGCAGAGTTGTCCACTGTGTGGAAGAAGTGTTTGATCCTAGAGAACAGCATTTAATATATATGTGAATTGACCAGTAGTTTGTTTTTATAAGCATTTGAAGTTCTTCAGTTCCCTGTCATTGTGATGTGTTTTTTTTGCCTTATTTTCAGTTATTTGACTGGAGAACTCATTTCCTATTTGTGGAAAACAGGAGTAGGACATGAATCTCAAACGACAACAACATAGGGGAAAAAAGGAAAGAAAAGAAAGTGATACTAAGTGATTATTAGACCTGGACAGAATAGATACTTGAGAGATTTGACACAAGGTATATAATGTTAAATTTTAATGATACAAAGACACTTTTGCTATTTTAGGTATGATAGTGTTGGTATGGTTATGGGTTTTTTTTTTTAGAGATTTATATTAAATATGGTTAAAATTATGTCTGGGATTTGTTTCAGAGTAATCCAGCAGAGGCAGATATGTATAAATATGTACTTGGATATATTTGGTCCCCATTCCAACCTTTCCAATTAACCCCGATTTTGGGCAAATCACTGTGACTCTCTGGGCCCAGTCTATTTATTTCTCTTTTGAGGCTAGTTTATTCTGTCTTTGGACAGTTTACTTAAACAAAATTTAGGCCTCAGCCTATGTGTATATTCACTAATAAGGTGACCTGGTAGCCTGGTTTTTCTGTTACCATCCTAATTTGATAACATGTCCTTCTCTTTTTCTTAAACAAAGCTTGCTTTCGTGGATAAATGACATAAAAACCAAAACCAAACTCACTTGTTACTGAGTCAATTCTGACTCATAGCAACCCTACAGGACAGAGAACTGCCTCATAAGGTTTCTGAGACTATAAATCTTTATAGAGGCAGACTGCCACATCTTTCTCTCAATGAATGGCTGGTGGGTTTGAGTCTCTGACTTTGGTTAGCAGCCCAATGCTTTAACCACACCACCAGCAGAACTCCTTATAAATGACATGATCACCTTAAACATGAGGTATTTGAGTATCGGGTTACGAACAGTTTGTTAAGCATAGTTTTTTGAAACTCAATGCTTTTTGATGGGACATTCTTTAGTTTTGTATAGGCTTTCTCACTTGTTTTATACCCAACTCTGTTAACTGATTTAAATTTCCTGCCACTCATGCTTATTAGCAATCCATAGGCCATTTTCTTTTTATAATCCTTATATAAACAATCTAATAATAGCAGATGAAAATAATTAACCCTACGCATTTAGTTTGGCTTTTCCTATTGTCTTTTCTTAACTGTATGCTTTTGTAACTTTGACTTAGGTATGCTTTTCTTCATTTAGCATTTGACTTAGGTATGCATTTCTTCAGGTTGCTAAAGTGTTTTAATGATTATTTTAGGCAGAATAATACATCAATGGCTGTCTATAAACTGCTTACTATGGGAAATGACCCTCCATGTATGTATCACCCAGGACTTAAGTATTTCTCAACTTTTAGTCACACATGTTTATCTTATACCTGCCTCTACTGGCTTTGAAGCAAATCCCAGATATAACTTGACCCATAAATATTTAGTATAAATCTCTAAAATATGAAGAATTAAATGAAAATCCATAACCAATACTATCACACCTAAAATAATGACAGAAATGCCTTAGTATCATCAGAGTTCAAAAATTTTACACTTTGTTTCAAATCTCTCAGAAACAAAAGTGTTAGAACTTTTGTTCAAATCAGGTCCAAATAAAGTTCATATATTGCAGTTAGTTGATTTTCTTAAGCATCTTTTTATCTGCAGTTCTCTTGCCATCACTTTAATTCTCTTGCAGTTTATTTTTAAAGAAACCATGAATTTTGTTTTATAGAATTTTCCATATTCTGTATTTTTTCCAATTGCATCCCCTCCAGTCCATTTCCATGTTTTAAAAGAGTTCTTTTCCTGCAGGAGATAACTGACATGGCAACCACAGTCCTCTTGAAAATTTCTCTGCCTTTGTTATGAGTCAGTAGAAATAATTATGGATAGCTCTTGCCTGCCTACAAATATTTAGATCTATCCTTTACACGAACACCCAACTGCAAGTCTAATCATAGAGAAGTTTAACCAGTTAAGATTATCTACAAAGA